TTCTCCTGCAGGGTGGTGAAGAGTTGGCGAAGGACTGTGCCCACTGAAGATAAATGGGTTACACTTGAAAAGGCTGGGAGTGCCCCTGGTCGGACTCATCTCCAGGGCTGCTTCCTTCTGCAGATTGTGGAAGAGACCAAGTGCTTTCACTCAGTGGCTTGGTGGGGGGGGGGGGGGGTAGATTTCAGGATCCAGCGCTTCACTCCTCTACTTTGTGACTTCATTGCTATCCTTCCTACAACCCATTCACGAGGCTCAGGGAATGGAAAAGGGATGGAAGTAGATGTTCACTGAGTGCCAGTGATGTGCTAGGCACTCCACTGAGCCATTTAAATTTACCCCTTCATGTGCCCCTCACATGAATCCTGCAAGGTGGGTATTCTTAAACTGAGGCTTCGAGAGATTAACAACAAAACTCGCTTCTGTCTCTTTCCAGGTGAGATCAAGGGCAGCTGACTCAATAGATGGCCCAAGCCCACGTGGCTGGCCTGGCCCTGTGCATTGCAACACCTATGTCCCTGACAATGACACTCCCTACTATGCCCCATGGCCCATTAGCCCAGAATTGCTGCTCTTTTCTCCCCCATCATTCAGGATTAAAATGGAAGACACTATTGAGCCACATCATCTTATTTGAGTCATTTTCCATTCAGCTAATTGCCAGCTACTGTCTGATCTGAGTCAGGTAGTTAAAGTCCAGTATATTTGCCATCTAGTTTCCTTTACTTTCATAACTGTAGCATTTGCTAAGTCTGAATGACTTTGGGAGAGTCATTGGAAGGCCCTCCAGGAATGTACAGCTGAGATACCCAGCTGACACTACTCAAGGGAGGTAGACACACACACACCTTTAAGCCCAGAAACTCAGGGAGTATCTTCTCAATAAATCCCCAAGTCTTCCCTAGAAAGACCTACCAGTTAGCTCAAGGACAATGAGTTGCATCCCAAATTGCTTTCTTCGGTCTGTAGGCAATTAAGGACAAGGTGCTGGGACAAAGTTGGAAAACTAGCAAAATTTGTCTCTGCCTCTTTTCCCACCACTTCCCTTTCAGTGGCTGCCTCAGCTATTCCTCACCTCCACCCAGGACCTCCCTGCCTTTCTGACTCCAAATCTTGTCTCCTTGTCCTCATGCACACTCTGTTCCAGAGTGCCTGCTTGCTCCCTCCTCTTATTCCTGGACTAGTATGAGCTAGCATAGGTCAGGCTATGCTGCAATGACAAATAGCTCCACACTCTTGGTGGCTTACAACAGATAGCAAAGATCGATTTCTTGCTCATGTTATACGTCACACAGCCGTCACAGGTCAATTGCAGCTCTGCACCACATCTATCTGCTTCAGGACCAGGTTGATGTAGCAGCTTCTATTTGAAATATCTCCAGTCTTGCGACAGAGGGAAAAGAACATGGTGAAGCACACACTGCCTGTCCAGCTTCTTCTCTGAGTGGTACTCATCATTTCTGCTCACCTTTCATTGACCAGAGCAGTCATATTGCCATGCCTGACATTAACAGGACAGAGAAGCATAATTCTCCCTAATGAGGGGCAGCAGATATTTTTGGACAATTTCACAGCTTACCACAGTCTCAATTATAATATTTCCACTTACATTCTGTCTTTTTAAAAATTAACTTTAAATTGTATGTGATACACAAATATATTCTTCTTTTAAATAAAACCTTAAAATATTAGAGACAAGGCTAAAATTCCTTTTGACCTCCCTCCCCTTAATTCTATTCCATTTTATGTAGACGTATCCACTGTTACCTCTTTTTCTGGGGGTGGGGGTGGGATGTGATGGATTGTGGTGTTCCAATCCTTTTAAGCCTTTTTCTATGCATTTACATACACAGATGTGTACCCTTAGAAAATGGGAAGTATTGTTTTGTGGGATGACAGTTTTAATTTTAAGTCAAAGAGACACATTCCGTGCTGGTTGTTGCTGTGTTCCCAAGGCCCTTCCAGGAGACAGAGTCATGAAGAGCACATGGTCTGGAACCAATCTGAAGCCCAACATGCACTTAACCTCCCAGTCCCTTAGTTTTCTTGCCTTGAAATGGGGATGATCTAGTGCATGGGGTTGTTCATGTAAAGCATGCCGACTTAATGTAAATTGTAATTGTAATTGTGTAATTGTGTTCATCAGACACAATTAGGGGGGTGCTGTTTATCAAACTCACAGTAAAACCCCTGGTGGGGTTACAAGTTATTTTTATATGCAGAAATCCTCTATTCAAGTAGAATCTAGAATTATCTCCCTTAGGATTTTTCTGTCTCACTTTCCCAAATACATTCCACTGGTATAGGGACAAGAATACATTTTGTTATGAGAATAAATTTAATTTAGGCACAAAGGGAAGAAAGGATCAAACATTTATTGACCCTTTATATGGGACAGTTGCTTTATAGGTGACATGAATTCTCAGCATCTTATGAAGTACATCATATTTACTCCAGATTTATAGGTTAGGAAACCAAGATTGACTTGGCCAGGGAACTTGGTCAAAGATAAATGGCTGGTAGGTGGTGGAACTGGAATTTGAAGCCAAGTAGGTCTAAGTTCCAAATTC